TGTTGATAAATAATAAAAATCAACAATATTTACATGTACAAGCGTTAGATGACATATCGTAACAACTCCTGACCAGAATATTGTTCTTCTTTCATTATATATGGTTCGAAAGAAATCCTCGTCGCCATTGTTATTTTTTTATTAAATAATTTATTAGAAATAGTATAAACACATTTATTTTAAACAAAATAAAAAATATCAGAACTTATAAAATAAAAGAAGTTTATTTACCTTCTTTAAAAATATTTACATAAAAGCAATTTAACAAAACAAATTTAATCCAAAAATTCAACAATCAAAACTTACATATCTCTCGACAATATATATTTACTCTAGTCTCTAGTCAAAACCCAACAAATAAATATAAACACAATTTAATTATTTTTATACGTCTGCGTAACTCTAAGTCCATTTACATCAATTTACATGTACAAGCGTTAAATGACATATCGTAACAACTCCTGACCAGAATATTGCTATTAAATGACTGAATAATGGAGGAAATAAACAATACAAAAGTGAAATTGTACTGGGATCAGGTGGATAAATTAAGAAATAAGCGTTTCCTGATCGTGTAAATAAAAGTTGATGATGGCTTGCGCCATCTATCGGAATAAATACCAAATTCAGTCATTAAGAAATAGACATCTCCTGATCGTGAAAATAAAAGTTGCTGATAACTTTTGCCATCTATCAGAATAAATATCAAATTCAGTCATTAAGAAATAGACATCTCCTGATCGTGAAAATAAAAGTTGCTGATAACTTGTGCCATCTATCAGAATAAATACCAAATTCAGTCATTAATAAATAGACATCTCCTGATCGTGAAAATAAAAGTTGCTGATAACTTGTGCCATCTATCGGAATAAATACCAAATTCAGTCATTAAGAAATAGACATCTCCTGATCGTGTAAATAAAAGTTGCTGATACCTTGCGCCATCTGTCGGAATAAATACCAAATTCAGTCATTAAGAAATAGACATCTTCTGATCGTGTAAATAAAAGTTGCTGATGGCTTGCGCCATCTGTCGGAATAAATACCAAATTCAGTCATTAAGAAATAGACATCTCCTGATCGTGTAAATAAAAGTTGCTGATAGCTTGCGCCATCTGTCGGAATAAATACCAAATTCAGTCATTAAGAAATAGACATCTCCTGATCGTGTAAATAAAAGTTGCTGATAGCTTGCGCCATCTGTCGGAATAAATACCAAATTCAGTCATTAAGAAATAGACATCTCCTGATCGTGTAAATAAAAGTTGCTGATAGCTTGCGCCATCTGTCGGAATAAATACCAAATTCAGTCATTAAGAAATAGACATCTTCTGATCGTGTAAATAAAAGTTGCTGATGGCTTGCGCCATCTATCAGAATAAATATCAAATTCAGTCATTAAGAAATAGGCATCTCCTGATCGTCTAAATAAAAGTTGCTGATAGCTTGCAACCATTTCTCGGAATAATTATAAACTATACGTTTAATCAACGAAGAGTTTATATTTATTCCGATAGATGGCGCAAGCCATCAGCAACCTTTAATTGCACAACCAGAAGAAGCCTATTTCTTAATGACTAAAGCCGTTTATAATAGAGGACAATACTGAAATTGTGAAAGACTATAAGACGCCAAACAACCGCGAGTACACGTGTCTGATGCTGATGATAAATCAAAATAAATAAATTAAAAGAAAAAAAAATATATGGTAATTTAAACCAACAACCCTATATTGTATAATACTTATAACAAGATTTTCATGTTGTATATAGAAACACATCTATAAATAATTATACGCATGGTTGACATGTGTCATTGCATCACCCTATGTAATATACTTTGTACAAACTGAGGATGAATAAATAAAACTATGTAATAGATTAAGAGCTGAGCTAAGAAAGAGATCGAGATAGAAATCCAACAACCCTAAAGAGGAATTTGGCAAGTCGTTGCCATCAAGGTCAAAGGGTGCAGAATAGTGCAGACGCCCCACGCCCTTTGGACCCGTTCAAAGTCCAAATTCTCGCATGTCTCCCTCCTCGGCAAAGGTATAAAAAAACCTCGGTTTTAGCCGAAATCATAGTCACTTCACCATCGGCGTGAGCCCTTGTCGGTTGTACCCAGGACCACCTCATCGACCATGTAAAACAGTAAGACTCTTCTAACTCCATCTTGCTCTTAGCTCGACTCCTATCTGTTCACGGAACTTTCCTACTACAGCTGTGTCTCTTCGTTTTTTGTGTGTGGACATTCCCAAGCTTTCCACTCTGCCTCGACCACGACTCCCTGTACTCTGTGAGAACTTTTAAAGGTCCTACAAGGTGCAGAGAGGTACTGGAAAACTCTCCACGCCCTGACTGTCCCTCTCGGTTACTACTGGTTTGACCCTCGGTTACCACATATATATTTCCTGATTATGCAATTGAGATTTACTGATAGCTTGTGCCATCTATCGGAATAAATATCAACTATAATCGTTGATTTTTTTCAATTATACCAGGGTACTAGTCAAATACTCGTTTCTTGACAAGTCAAGAAAATCTCCTATGCGTTTCAAACTTGTCTGTTATTGTCAGTATGGTGCAGGCTGTATCTCGACGACCAAAAAAAAAGCTGATCTTAGAGAATTCCTGATATTTAAGGAATATTTTATTTAAGAATTGCAGAGTACACGCTATATCCACAAATCGGATATTTGCGTGTGAAATATATACATTTGAATGAAAAACAAAAAAGAAAAAGTAGTTTAAAGGGATATATACATATTTACATATCAGTATGCAAATTGATTACATTAGTAGTCACTTATTTAGTTAAGTACATTCTGCAGAATTTCGACGACCAAAAAAAAATCTCGACGACCAAAAAAAAAGCTGATCTTAGAGAATTCCTGATATTTAAGGAATATTTTATTTAAGAATTGCAGAGTACACGCTATATCCACAAATCGGATATTTGCGTGTGAAATATATACATTTGAATGAAAAACAAAAAAGAAAAAGTAGTTTAAAGGGATATATACATATTTACATATCAGTATGCAAATTGATTACATTAGTAGTCACTTATTTAGTTAAGTACATTCTGCAGAATTTGTTGAATCTTTTTGGTGTATGTCCTTAGTGTAGACCAGATGTTGCATATTTGTTATGGGAAGTTGATTTAGTTCCCTAAGGTCAGCGGTCAGTCAGTTAATAAATGTCTGGGGTTCTGTTCTTCGCCTCCACACGAGCATCCAGGTGATTCAGCTTTGCGCCAATTTCAAACAGGTATGAGTTGAAGTCGCCATGTCAAGTGAAGAATTGCACATTATAGAAGTTAGGTTTGATATAATTAGGAATTTTAAGGAATATGTATTTAAAGCCAAAAGTACGTGAAAAACGTAAAACTATATATAAAAAAAAGAATACAAAAGATTAAAATTGTAATAAGATCAAGGAGATCTCTTCCATGTTTTATTCAGGAAACTTCAAAGTCCAGTTTTTGATCGTTGAGGTACAGCCATCACTGCGCTGACGAGGGCCAACAGACCGTAACGCGTACATGGTTGAATTTTCTTAATTTTAAAGCCAATAACGTGCCATCTATATAAGAAAGGAAAGCATTAAATGTTTCTTTTTAAACATAAAATAAACTTCTACTGTCTTTACCGCGATAAATGAAGAAAGGATATATATCAGGTATTCTGGAATAATTAAAACAATCAACGATTATTTAATATTTATTCCGATAGCTGGCGCAATCCATCAGCAACTTTCATTTGCATAATCAGGAGATTCCTTTTTTTTTTCAATTTAACCGCCTGATCCCAGTACAATTTCATTTTTCTACAATTTTTAATTTAGTTTTTATTCTCCGTTATATAGAGAGGTCATCTCTCACGTCAAAACAAGACGCCATCTATTGACTGTCGCCTCAAACTAATGGAATCAGGTCGGTGACAAAGCCACAACACCAGCTTTGGCAAATTGAGAAGCGTTCTTCTGGAGACCATAGTTTCTGGCTAATGGCCTATGGTAGATGTTTTGATGAAATTAGCCTTAGGCTTCTTTTTATCAAATTAATTATTTTTTATTTAAATACAAACTGACAAATTAAAATGGTGGCTAATATTTACATCTACCAAACGAACTCATTCTATATACAGTTACGAGCGTCATGCGTTCTTCATCTCTTAATTCTTCAGTTTTCATCTCTGTCACCGTTTGCTTTTTTTTTTTTTGGAATGGCGCTCTCCTATTGGTTGGCTACGATCACGCCACCTTTGCCCCCCCCCCCCCCCCCCTGCCCCCCACTCGCTTTTTCGTTTTTGTAACTATTGTGTTGGAGCGGGTCGCTCCTTAAATAAATGCATATATTAGTTAATAGCTAAATGGAATCCTCTCTTTCTTTTTCCCAGTAAGAGACGCCTACGGAAGCCAACAGTACATAGACAGATAAAGCACATAGGCTATAGTTATTAACTAATATATGCATTTATTTAAGGCGCCAATTTATAATTGTAACAAATAGTATTTGAATCAAAACATTCAATCGGGTAAAACACGGGCGTTGCCCGGGTCATTCGGCTAGTTATATATATATAGAACTTCTATATTTTCAGGTCACAGAGTTATAAAAAAAAATACAAATTATTATTCATTTTAAAATAAAACATCGTGAAGTATTATTATTTTGCATATTCATTATTTAATAAAAATATAGTTTTTAAACATTTTTAAAATATTACAAGTCAAAATGAAGAGCATGACTACAGGCCCTTGTCAGACCAAGACAGACTTTATTCCATGAGATCCATAAGGGATAAAATTAAATCTTCACAATCTGCCAAAAAGGTTTTTAGCTGGTAAAGTGGCTAACCAAATCTATGGCCAAAATATAGATGGAAATTTTGCCGGGAAGATATCTACTTATATAATTGCCTTATTCTGTCTGTGTGAAGTTCACTGTGTGAAGTTCACGGATAGATTTTGGTCAGAATGGATAAAATAAAAAAAAAGTGTCAAGGGATGGGAATCGAACCCACGCCCTTCCGCTTACCGGGCAGATGCCATGACCACTAGGCTACCCTGGACATATTTTTCCGTTCATAAAGTACAATACTTAAATGAAAATATGTTTCTTATACAATCAAAAATTAGAAAATAAACTTTTAAATTGGTAACATCAAGGAGATAGCCACTATAAAAAGCACTAATATTTGAATAAAAATAAATTTGTATAAAGTTGTATAAAAACAAATTGGCGCCAGTTTGGAACGGGACGTTTCACAAGAGTGACATCCATGGCGCCAATTTATAATTGTTACGAATAGTATTTGAATTAAAACGTTTTTAAAATATATACGCACTCGGGTAAAACCCGGGCGTTGCCCGGGCCATTCGTCTAGTTGATCTATAAAAATAAAGGTCACCTCTTTCATCAAAATAGACGTCAAAACATCTATCGCCGCAAACTAGCGGCCTCGGGTCGGTGCCAGATTTTGTTAATCAAAACCAAATTTTGTTTTAAGTTTAGATAACTTCGTTCTTTTTGTCGCGTGTTGGAGAGGTATCAGTGGGATTCTAAAGTTTTTCAGAATTATCGTTGATTGAACCAAGGAATTAGAGAACGAGTATTCATCCTTTCATACCTCATCCCAAAGGTTAGAAATAATCGTTATTTCTCCTTGGAATAAATTTTGATTTCTCATTGAAAAGAAACACATGCGGGATAGTTTTCAAATGTCGTTTTACAATCACAATCCGCATTATATTGTATTATAAATTACTTTATGTATTATTTACGAACGGAAAAATAAGTCCAGGGTAGCCTAGTGTACATGGCATCTGCCCGGTAAGCGGAACACTGTGGGTTCGATTCCCATCCCTGGACACTTTTATTTTTCCGTTTATCATTACTCTTCACAATTCACCCTTTCATACCTCATCCCAAAGGTTAGAAATAATCGTTATTTCTCCTTGGAATAAATTTTGATTTTTCGTTGAAAAGAAACACATGCGGGATAGTACATTTCAAATGTCGTTTTACAATCACAAGCCGCATTATATTATATTGTATTATAAAGAATTTAATTAATCATCCCCAACATATGCAAATCAAATTAGGGACTAGAGACAAGGTCCGCAGTAGCCATAGGGGACCGTTCCACCTGTAGGACCACATGGAGGTTTGGGAGGGGGTCCACCAAAGATGGGACCTAGGAGTGGCATGGAGTAACTCGGGCAGATCGCTGGACCCCTCGGATCTGGAGTGGGACTGGCATGGCTGCCATTTCTACAGTAGCAAATTTTGGAGAACCCACAGTCCATGGCGGAATTTAAACGGTCAACTTCTTATTTGGCATCTCGCAACAATAACTACATCTATAGAAATTGGATTAAATTGGAGTTCTAAATTTTTTTTTATGTTTTTTTTTTTGTGGGTTAGGTTATTCTTATCCGTTAAAACTACTCCTTATCGCACATTAAGTAATTTTACGTTCGGATTATAAGCTGAAGTTATAGTTGAACATAGAGGCTATTCTCAAAGCCTATGCAAATTGGGCTCAATAACAACTAATTTACATATTTTAGGAATATAATAATAATGACACTTAAAGAAGTTGTACCTTTTAACATATATATCGGGATTCAGACAATAACTCTGAAAGATATTACAGTGACCCTTTATAGACAATAGTTCAGTAGCTCTAAATCTATATAACTTCCATAAAAATGCTGTAAAAAAGAAAGACTTAACCGAACATTCAAACATACCAAAAATTTCTGTTTGATGAGAAAGACAGAACCAACATCCAATTATTTGTTTAGGCAGATACGATAAGTTAACCCCCACACTGATAAAACGGTGTTTACCTTACAACCCTGAACACGCGGATTTTCCAGGGAAATCTCTTAAAGATTTCTTAAAAAATACATGGCCCACCTGTGCTGTGTGAGAGCTTAAATTGTCTTGTTCCATATGTAAATACCTGTTTTCTTTCCTCTTTTCGCTCTCCACTTCTCCCATCCATATTTCCAAAATTTTTTTTTTCTTTTTTTGATTTTTTTTATTCTTCTTATTTTTTTATTCTTTCTTATAATCTGTATATATTTACCAAATGTATATAATCTTTCTCCATTTTTTATTTCCCACTTTCATAGGTTTCTCCGTTTTGTAACCCCAAGGAGAATCCTCTGTAAGACCTGTGTGTCTTAATAAAGGCTTTTGTGTGTGTGTGTGTGTGTGATATTACAGTGACCTTTATTGAAGACTTACAAACAAAACTTAAGGAAGTTGTACCTTTTAGCATGTATATCGGGATTCAGACAATAACTCTGAAAGATATTACAGTGACCTTTATTGAAGACTTACAAACAAAACTTAAGGAAGTTGTACCTTTTAGCATGTATATCGGGATTCAGACAATAACTCTGAAAGATATTACAGTGACCTTTATTGAAGACTTACAAACAAAACTTAAGGAAGTTGTACCTTTTAGCATGTATATCGGGATTCAGACAATAACTCTGAAAGATATTACAGTGACCTTTATTGAAGACACACGAGATAACTAAGTGTGAACAAAATTGATTCTGTCTCAAAAAAAAAAAAAAAAACAGACGATTTTCCTCAAGTTTTGTCCATAAGTGTATTTCCACCATCACGACCTCTACCATTATAAGATTGATATTTGAAATAACATTATCATAATAATCAGGCGATTTGTATCCAACGATTTCACCAATTTAATCTACCAGACCGCTTCTTAGAGCTCTAATTCTGCTTATATATGCTACACTGAAGAGTGGAACCTTAGAAATGGTATTCATGAAAACTATGGACATAACCTTTATGGATAGTAGTGACCTTTATTAAAGACACACGAGATAACCAAGTGTGAACAAAATCGCCTCTGTCTCTAAAAAAAAAAAAAAAAAAAACGACAGGTAACATCAAAAACTTTCCACTTTCTTAAGTTTTGTTAATGCGAGAGGAATGCGAGGAATCAACGTGATGTTCTGCCCTGGAAATATTTCATCTGTTGATGAGGAAGTTTATATTCATTGCATAAATTTCTTGGGAAGGATAATATTCATCTGTCAAAAAAGATTTCCTTTATAAACACAAAGACCATTGCAGAGATGGAGCAAGTGGAGAAGGAGGGACCTTGTAAGACGAGCGACAAAGGTCACGGACAATTTGCCAGGTATTGGGAACCTGTTGTGAAATCCCTAGAGCCTTAATGGACGATTACTCGACGGGGTTGGCCTTCGGTAGCTCTTCCCGCCGGGAAACCAGGGCACCGTCGCCTTGCCCCGCTACCTTATTAAGCCTAATAGCTAACACTAAAACATTTTAAATGCTTTCAGAATGCTTATCGACTGTCGAGTTTGATGTTGAAATGAATAGGAGAGCCTGGCTCATCATTAAAGAACACTACTACCTGATATTATTGTGTATAAATCGAATTTCAAATGTGAAATTAAAGACAATGAAAGTATATATATATAATATAAAATAATTAGATTTCTGTTGTATTTTGATTATTAGAGCTATATAGGATTAATACTTGATGCTGATTATTTTGAGAATAGAGATATTTGTTGTGCAGTCGTGGTATAAATAATGAAAGAATAATAATAAATATGGTTTTGATCAGAGATTTCTTTATTTGAGCTCAGGAATATATATGAATAACATAATTTGATTAAAGTAATGCCTGGCTTAAGGCGAATAGAACAAGGAAAAACAAAAGATTATTTACATAATGTACAAAAGTTTTGAGCCTGCCATCGGGAAACAACAACATTGAGGTTTTATAGGGGAAGAGTGACCTCTGGTGGTCGATTTAGCAGAGTATCTGAATCTATGAAATTATAATTTAAAATAAAATAATATTTTTATATAACATATATATATATATGTCGTAGCTAAATGAAGAGGCGCAGCCGTTATGCCTAGCGAACAGCGCACCCGCGATGTCTGCCACCTTTATTTTTTGTCCCGCTTTTATACATGGATGAATTTACATATTTACATTTTAACACAAGCGTAACATATTTACATACTTATTTTTAACGAAAATAAATTATATCTCTTGTCATTAACTATACAAATTATGACATATATATATAAACCATTGCCCCAGTCCTGTCATTCTGTACCCGTAGAAAGGCGTCTTGTCCGAAATCTTATACAATCGTCCTTTCATAAAAGAAGCTCTTCTCCCCGACTTGTGCATTTTTCTTATCTATAAATAGCATTAAAATTTGTTTACTTTTGCGTGAATATATCCTCACAAGGGTAACAAATTTATCTGCATTATACAGCGAAATTTGCAAATAATATTTTCATATTTACATATCAGTTTATTAGAGACGAAGGCGATAAAAACGTGGTGATTTTCTTTTATTGATAAAATACAAGCTTTCAGGCAAGAAGGGCATTCTTGCCTGAAAGCTTGAAATTTATCAATAAAAGAAAATCACCACGTTTTTATCGCCTTCGTCTCTAATATTATTGCGTGGCCACGTCATGTCTGATCATATCAGTATATTTTACACATATAAATTCACTGGAAATGCGCTTCTTTTAAATATCATCAAATATTATCTCTACAGACCTTACTGCAATGATATGAGTTATTGAATGAGAGGGCTTGGCTCATCAGTAGTGAACCCTCTCAGCGGTTTCGCCAAATTAATCTCTAGACCGCTCTACTTTTGTATTGGATTGGTTTGGAATATACCCTGTATTTTCTATGGAGCGTATCTGGATCTGTAAATATTTTTTTCTTTTTTTTTACAAATGCAGATACGCCCTTTTTATATAAACTCATTTAATATATTGCCAAACTATCAGTTTATATTTCTGTTGGCACGTTTTGTAGATACAATGATATTCGGGAAAGGATGAAATTTCAAATGTTTATAGATTGAGTGAGATGGGGTTACATTAGTGATATAAGTAAGGGGGAACTATTAAATATACTCATGGACAAAACTTAAGGAAGTTGTATCTTTTACCATGTATATCGGGATTCAGACAATAACTCTGAAAGATATTACAGTGACCTTTATTGAAGACTTAC